ACTGCTATAATCTGCCCCGTTATGGCTATTTGAAACTTCGAAAACCATATCATCCACAAGACCAACAGTCACCTGCCGAACCCACTGCTGGAACGAAAGTTCCTCCATTAAGAACCTTCCACCTAACCTCCCCACAATGCCTGAGAACAAAATTCTAACTTAGTTTCTTGGATGAGAAGAATACACGGCTTATGCTTCTTGACCATATTTGCTACAGCTAGATTTCTCCTTTTTTTTACCCAAGTTCTAGATCTTCTATAAACTCTAGATATAGCTCCACAACTCCACCTTCCAATCGATGCATTTCTAATGTGCATACTCCTAGACAACTGGTCTAATGGACTCCAACTTCTTAAACCTTTTGCAAAAGACCCTTTGTTATGCCCTGACCCCTGAATGCTACCCGTGGTGACTGTCCTTGCTTCCCTTTCACCATTGCTTCCTCTACACTGCTTACTTCCTTGGCCACACTTCTACCGCCTCTAACATATCTTTTTGACTCTTTAGAATACCACACGGTGGACTGAAATCTAGCCTTGTCCCCATCACTTATCGAAAATGAGTTATGATGATGAAACAGTAACCAAATTCTGCTCATTAGGTTCAAACAACATATTGTGTTGCTCTCCTACTGCCCCACCCAGACTCTTTAAGTTTACCATAGCCCAATTTATTTAAAATCGAAGCTGGCCCAGAAATAGAAATTCTAGAATTATTTGAATTGGGCTCAATGAATTCCTTTGACTGGGCTTTATCACTTTCATTAAGAAAGACATTCCTTAACCCAAGACCTCGAAAATCCCCTTCCAAATTCAATTTTTTCCAGAAAGTCTGACACCTTCGTACCACTATGTTGACCTTCATTTTCCTGCGACATTAAATGCTGCCCCTTTGCCGCCTGCCAAATCTGCACCATCCACCCTTACCAACCCTTTGCCCCCTGCCTCTGATGTACCGACTTCTCCTACCAGCCTCCTGTCTACTTTGTCCCTAGACTCCACAGCTAGCAATTCTAGACCGCCCACCCCTGAGTACCGATCCTCTTCCTCCTCTGATGAGCTTCATCTCTGACTCACCTTCTCCCGCCACCATAGAATTTTTGCAGAAAAACTCTCCTGTTTTACTAACCGATCCCACAGTAATTTTGACCTTAAAAGATCTCCCATACGAACCCAATGTAACAGATTCTGAATATCGAAAGGACTGGCCACCCTCAATAGAACTCGTGCCACCGCCATGTCCTCTTCTGACCGTCGACTCATGAAAGCATACCAGCTTCCCCCATCTTAATACAAGTTTTTCCAGAAAGGGGATATTCCAACAAAGTAAAGGGATTCCAACTAAGTCTATTGAACAAAATGCCATCGGAACACATCAACGTTCATAACCGGATCAAGCCAGTCAAACCAGAAGAACAGTTCCTCCCGCCTGCTTGACCAAGCCTCCTCACATCTTCCATCGAACCAAACATTAGGATACATGAGTTCCATGTGAATCCCCATTTAGCTCCCTTAACCTTAATCCCCTCACCAGCCAGCCCCTTCACCACTATCTCCAAATCTAAATGAGGTTTGATCCCAGTTAAAGATTTTTCACCCAATTATAATCATCCGGGGGAAATGCATCTCCCACAATTCCCATCCCAGTAACCATACCTGAGAGACCCTCTGGTCCTTTTACTCACTGGAACTTCCCTCCTCCCATCAACAAGACAACTGCTTCCATTCGGTCTTTCATAACTGCCCGCCTATCATGCTCCTCTCTATCCTCTACGTTCACCACCTCTTTGTACGTTCTGCCGTCCTAGGGCTATCGGCTTCTCCAGAACCACTGCTGCCTACCTTCCTCCCCTCTCACTTGCTTTTTACTTCCCCTGGAAACTTTTGTCATCAGTTGCTCTTCTCCTTCCCTATACTTTGCAACCCCACTGAGACTCTTCTCCCATCTATCAATGTGCCATTGACATTCTGAATCGCTCTTCTACACCTTCCTCCTTCGCATATTGCAAAAGGCAAAGTCGATGACTTATAATTTGGTTTCACCATAAACTTGGAATAAAAATCCTTATAACACGACCGAAATATCAAGATCTCTCTAACTCTCTTCTAGTAACTCTCTTACTAAGATTATCTATGAAAACAGTCCATTCCTTATCGGAAGAAGAACGAACTGTCTCAAGCTCTCTATTTCTCTCTCTACCAGTCTCACTCATGATTTTCTTTGAGATTGTTAGATGTGATTTGTGTATTGTTGATCCAAGATAATAACCTCATCTCGACTGCTTCCTCGGAAAACAGCTAAAATCAACAAAAAGGGATTGTGACACACCTTTCAATACTTCCACTGCCATAATGTTCCAAGATCAAAAACACTTGTGAACCTTTAGAATCATATATGGATCTGCCTTCAATTTCAGCCACTTCTTCCTCGCGATGCACCTTACTCTGATTATACTTACTTTGGCAGCCTCTAGTCTTCCTTTGGGGAGCCGTAATATTCTCTTGAAGTATTTGGACGAAGCTATATTTATTGTTAATCCCCTCCTTTGCTCTCTGGTTCTGCCTGCCCTTACCCTTGAAACTTTTGAATGCACAATTATTTGCAAGGCCCACTTTAATCACATCCTCCACCACTTTGATTCTACTCGACCATCCAACATGGGGAAATTTGTAAAATAATCCTTCGAACCCTCATAAGCACGTGCAGACTCACAACTTTTCCTATTAACATCTTCTGCCTTTCTCTCCATGTGAACCAACACTACCTCGTTTGAAAGGCCCATATGAATCCCATCCTCCACCTCGTTTGACTCTAAACGACCATCCAGGATGGGAAATTCTATTAAATAATCCTTCATCCCCTCATTAACACGTGCAGACAAACAACTTTCCCTTTTGTCATCTACTGCCTCTCTCTCTGCGTGAACCAACACTAACTCGTGTTCCCCCACTTCCTCAATTTGCGATTGAACCATCCCTTGACCCGCAACAGTACTCCTCAGACCCATCATCATTTCCTCCCCTATGTTCCTTTCCTCCTCATCCTCGCCCGACAAGCTGCTGCCTCTAGTTCTAATCCCCATACAACATAAAACACTGTCTTCTTCCTCAGAACACCTCTCGGGAAACTTCACCTCCGATGAGTTCACGCTTCTTCCTGCTTCCTCAACACATACCTCCAACTCGGGATACTTAACTGGGAGACACCAACGAGCTCCCCCACCAAGGATAACGGGGAGGCAACTGCCTCTTCCATCATAGACGAATCTACCCAGAGAGATTCTGGGCTGAAACACGATTCAAACTCATAAACATATACTTTAAAGGACCTTTCCCCGACTTTCAAAACAAAGGTTTCTTCCACTCGAGCTTGACAGTTCGTAATAATCTGAAACAACGCCCTATCAAACGAGTCGGGATTTAAGGTCCCTTCCTCAATAGATATAAGAACTCCCCATTTGTCTGCAATATTTCTGAAGGTGGAGTGACTCCACGCAAACGGAGGGATCCCTTTGCACGAAAGCCATGCCCGACAACTGCTGCACTGAAAATTTTCCGACCATACTTTCACTTTGTCAAAGCAGTTATTCAACGCCCCAATCTGATTATTTAGACTATAGTCCCTACTCTCTTCATCCTCATATATGATTAAAATTGCTAACCCGCTTAACCTCATAATTTTCGGACCAACTATGCCTTCCTTGTGCATAATAGCAGCCAACTCTTTCATTTTTATAAATTTTCTGCACCAAACCACCAAGTTATCTTTAAGAGTTGAGAGCTTATCCTCTTCAACAGAACCGACAATGGGAGCCTCTGAATGACTAACATCCTCCACTTTACTCTTGACCTCGGCTGGTTTTGGACCAGAGAACTTCTTTCTCCAGAAAACATCACGAGGTTGAAATCTCACCATGAAAACTCTAACTTTAACACCTTGAATCCAAGATCTATCAGCACAGTTGATAGCCTTCCTCGCATCCTCCAATCTGGTGAAGCGAACAAAACCAAACCTACTTCCTCCCTTGCTTCTTTTTTTGGGATGAAAGAATCAACCACCTCTCCATATTTATCAAATAAAAACCAAAGACCTTGGTGATGAAGACACTCTGGAATATTGAAAATAATCACGATAACGCAATTTTTCCCAACAGATCTTCTCACCTAACTCGCCATCTGAATTGTGGTAGGGACTCAAGCAATTAGGAACTAGGGTAAAGCACCGAGGAGCACCTGAACGTTCCCACTCTTTTTAGCGCTATGTTTACCTCCTATCTCTCTCCTAGGGTTTTGAAGCTACGAGACCTTCCTCAAGTACCTACCTATATTGAAATCATATCTAACACTTTGATGTTATGAATTGTAACCTCGTTTGGTTCTCGGGTTAAGGTTTATTCAATGATTATTAAGTGAATATTCTTGCAATACTCTAACTATTTTCATTTGTTCCCCTAAAGTAATTACCTACATTGAAATCATATCTAGAACTTCAATGTTATGAACTGTAACCTCGTTAGATTCTCAAGTTAAGGCTTATTCGATGATTATTAAGTCAATACTCCTCCGTTACTCAAGCTATTTTCCTTTTATTTCCCCCTAGAGTAACTACCTATATCGAAATCATATGTAACACTTAAATTTCCTGTAACCTCGTAGCTTCTCAAATTAAGGTTTATTCAATGATTAGTGAGTGAATACTCGTGTTGTTTCTAGCTATTTTCCTTCTATTTCCTCCTAATACCTGCCTATTTTGAACACATATCTAACACTTCAAAAGTGAAAAATCAAATGGGGTTTTGGCCCTACAAATACCCAAAATAAAATTTTTGAAATAAATTGAAGTTTGAACAAATCCAGATCAAAACGAGGCCGAGTAATATAGCCATCAAGAACGTTAGAACAGCAAAACAGAAAATAAAACCAAAACAAATAAAGGAATTAACAACGAATTTGTTGAATTAAAAGCAAGTTAAAAAACCCCCAAATAATTGACTCACTGACGTTTTCATGATCCATGTGACGAAGCAGCTTAATCTCACGAAGAGTTCTCTTTGCATCAATCTTATTGTCAAATGCGTTCGCGATCTTCTTTAACGCGACGTTTTCATTTGTCTCGGAATTCAATGCAGAACTAAAATAAATCAAACAAAATTAACAAAATTCAATCAAATAACAGTGGTTCAAAATAATTAATCAACGTAAGTAGTAAAAGAAGAAGAAGAATTACCAAACGATGCCGTAGGCACCTTTACCGATAGGCATAATAGGGGGTTTGTATTTAGCAGTGACCTCAAAAATATTCCCAAAAATATTGTACTGAATAAACCTGCCGCCGTGGCTAAGAGTTGCCGGGATATTTTCCATCCCGGTGACCATCTGCGGCGGATGTTGCTGGTTGTGTTGAGCGGCCTCCCCCATCTCGGTGTCCGCCGGCTGAGGTGGTCCTCCGCCTTCCATACTTTACCTTATTTCCTGTAAAAAAGAAAAGATTGAAAAGAAATTGGGGCGAGCGATGCTGTAGTGAAAGGATGCGTAGAATAATTTTGTAGTTATAAAATCATTTTTTTAAATATATTTCTAAGATTCGAATATTAGAAATTTAAAAAATAAATGACTATGGTATAAATTTATTTAAAAACTTTATTTTCTTTATATATAAATTAAAGATTTAAAGTTAGTCCTCTATTATATAATCGATTGAAAACTTAAGTCCAGAAAATATTTTTTTTATTTTCTATTTTTCATTTTTAGATTTTTTTTTGAAAATTAAAAAACATGTTTGATTAATATAAATGAAAAATTGAATTCAAAACTAAAATACTAAAAATACTTGATATCTAATTTTTTAAAATAAAAATAAAAATAAAATTATTAAAAATCATTACATAAATGTAGCATATGAGTTACAAATATAAAAAAATAAAGTTGATAAGAAATTTCATAACACAAAATTTAATTTAGTTTATAATAAGAATATAATATTAAAACATATTACACATTAATTTAATTTTAAAAATTCACAAAAATATTGTTATAAGTAATAGCACACAAAAGTGTTATTAACATAAAAAATATGTTTAGTGGTAACAGATACCCTCAAACTTTTTGGAAAATAATTAGTGTAGTCCCTAAACTTTTTTTACACCAAATGTGATCATTAAACTTAGAAAAAAAAATTAATCAAACCCTTTGAACAATAAAATCAAACGTTGATTGTCACGACGCTTACATGACAGTTCACAAACTTGACAATATATAATATTGATGTGACAGTTTATGATATTGTTGTGACAGTTCTCGATGGGCGATGATGTGGTAGATTAATTTAATTGATTATTTTAGAAAGTTTGAGGACTTGTTAATTTAAAAAAATGAAAATGTATTTAAATTAAAAATATAAAATATAAACAATTTCTAAGATATTCAATAAATTAAATATAAAAATACAAAAAAATAAATTATTTTAATAATTTAATTTAAGGATTACAGTGAGTGTATAAAAACTTTAGGGACCATATTGATTTTTTACAAAAGTTTGAGGGCTTTAGATACCATTAAATTAAAAAAAATTGTTAGAATGATTTAAACATGTGTAAGTTAAGTTAAAATTTTAGATATAATGTTTCTTTATTTTTTAATTTCTAAAATAATTTTAATAAAAATAGTGAAAACATCTTTTTCACGTTTTCATATTTTTATTAATTTTTTTTTCATTTTCCAGAAATCATTTTCTAATTTTACAACATTTTCTATTTTCTATGAAAATGGAAATGAAAATAGCCTATATTTTCTAAAACCAAACGAACCCTTATATTTTTTACTTTAATTTTTACAGTTTTCTTTAGTTATATATTCATATTTGTATAATTTATTCGTTTAATATTTAACATTTTTAATTAGATATATCAATTGTATACCCAAATTATTTTTACTGTTGCCGAAGTTGGTAGCTTGTCTTTATATAGGAGACAGGTGAGAACTAATCGTGGTTCTTCAGAAAATAAGCATTGGAAACGAATGGGTGTTGTTGTGTTCATAGATAATGTTAGTAAAAGGATTCACCATTCGAATTTGAATGAAGTTTTTCAAGCGTATGATTTTGTTTTGGATTGTTTCATTGCTTACAGGAACATGAAGAGAAAGACGGCAGAGACTACATTTGCCTTTATTAGATTTAGGAATGAAATGGAGGTAAATGAAGCAGTAAGGAAATGAAATGGTAAACTAATGGACGAATTTATTTTTAGGGTTTTTAGAGCTAAAAAGATTGGTCCTAATGTCAGAAAGTGAAAGAATAAAGAAAAAAAGATGTGGAGTGTCTCATCACTGAAAGATTCTAGATCTTTCAAGAAAGCCCTGCTAGGAAATAATAGTCATGGAACAGTGGCACATAATACCAACTCTTTTCTAGAAGAAGCTAGGTGCAGAAGTACTAAAATTGAAGTTATAGTTAGGTTTGTGAACGATTCTAGTAGCCTTTCAAAAGATTTGAGTGACTGGAGTCAGTCAATAATTTGTATCACAAAATCAGAGATGGCCTGGAGAAGATTATGTATCGTTGGTCAAATAAAGGGGATATAAAATACTGAGTTAGTAAAAATGGCTTTAAGTTTAGATGTATTTGATTCAAATGTTAGCCCCTGGTATGGATTATTTGTAGTAATTCAATTCAAACACGCAAACGATCTATCAAGGTGCTGAAGTAGAATAATGGAAATAAGAAATTTGGGTGTGTCTGAAGGATGCCCCATTATAGGCATGGAATAAGAAATTTTTTGTTAACCTTTGCAGTAAATGGGGTAAGGTAAGGAAGGCTGATGAGGAGACTTCTAATTACGATCAATTTGATGAAATAAGGGTGTTGTTAGAAATGCATAAGGAGTCGATCATCCCTGATAGGCTATCCATCGTCATATATGGTAAAAGCCATGTTATGAAACTTCTAACAGATAAGTACGAGGGTGAAGGGCATTTATCGATGATAGCTCACCACTTGACAAAATGACGATTGAAGGGTTGCATGATACATATGGTATTTCATAATGCTTTACATCATTTAGTGGTGAAGAAGTTCCCAAGGAGAATTATAATCATTGTCTCTAGGGATCCCGCTATCAAGAGGAGTCGTAATAGAGAAGCAGCGGCGGATGATAATGCTCTTCGTTGAGGAATCAAACCTAGAAAGCTCTAGACTCGATCAAAGAATGAGATGATGGATGAATAATATAGGCAGCAACATGGAGTTTGGATTAGGGCTTTGAAGAATGATATTAAGACAAAGCTTTAGGTTAAGACAATAAAATAAAGATAATTTAATTCAAGGACAAAAAGGTAAAAAAGATATTAAAAGAAATTAACGAAAAAACATGTATTAAAAGAATTAGGTTAGCTTCTGTCATGGTGGGCGGCAGGGAGCTATTGTTGATTGATTTGGATTGATGAATACTCATCGAAAAGATAACGAGATAAGGATCGCAACTAAGAAGACGGATTGGAATTCTGACGGTCGAATCTTCGTAAAAGTTTATTTGAAAATTTACCCCCGGTAGGTATATGCTTATCACAAACCTTAAGAATGGGGTGAGGATGGTGGCGTGATGATGGATGAGGAAGATGATGAGTTATGGAAATGGAAGATAGGTGAATATGTCTTATCGAACCCTCCTAGTCGCAATGAAAAGGCAAACCTGACAATATGGCTCTAACCAGCCCTCCTAATCGCAATGAGAAGGCAAACCAGAGTGTGAAGATCTCCCTCTTAAGAACTTGGAAGAACTTAAAGGAAAAGATTTTCAAAGGCACAAGGCAATCAGCTCTTGCAAAAACATACTCAACGTTGTATTATTACTTAAAGAAAAAGATGTGTCAAACAATGAAGGGATAGCCTCGTTTATATAGGTAAAGAGGAATTCTTATAAGATTCTTAGTATCGAATAAAATAATAATAAAAAAGTCCTAGTTGTACTATAATGGGCGACATGGATGATGGCCATTGATGAAGTTCTTGATCCAACGATTATGATAAAATCAAGCCTTTTAAATGCATGTGAAACCTTTAGCTTGATGGATGGTATGGATGAGCCTTCTAGAAGATGAAGGGGCGATAATGCATGATGAAGCAAGGGAGGGCTAACCATGTGACGGAAGGTGGAAATGATGGGCTTTTTTAGGGTTTTGTCATTACAAACAATCATCATCGTTGGGCCTAATCCTAATATAATAAAGGAAACAACTTAAATAACTAAAATCTACTTAGAAAAGTGATCCATGTTTTATATTCTAGCAATGGATTCTTTATACAAGGTTTTAGTAATTTAAGGGGTTGAAATTAATTTCAGGGCCATCTTCATGAATCTTGCAATTTGGTCTTGAATCATTTTCAACTTGGGTTATGGAGGTCCAAGTCGTATAATGAGGAAGGATAAATGAGTTTCCTTCTTGAAATTCTTCTGTCTCTATGTTGGCTTGTATTCATTTGCTGATGAAATACTGGACTGTAGTTTGAAGATTTTCTTTTAAGAGTTTGGCTCAGTTTCTTATAATTGGGCCCGATAAAAGAGTTAGCCCGTCATCTTTGGAAAAGTTACGTGTGGTGCATGTATCATCTCTCCCCTTCTTAGAATGATTCGTCCACGAATTTGAAACATCACCTGAAAGATCAATGTGATATGTATTGTATTGATACGTTCAAGGACTTGGAAAGGTCCATCTCCTCGTGGGTTAAGTTTAGATTTTCGCTGCTTTGGAAATGTTTTTTTCCGTATGTGCACCCAAACCCAATTGTCTGGTGCAAATCTAACAAAAATCTGCCTTTATTGACTCTATGTTCCACAGCTTCGTATGTTTTTTCTATCCTTTGCTTGGCTTTGGCGTGAAGGTCTTTTACAAAGGATGCTTTTTGTTCATCATCCATGCTAGTATTTTGTTCTAGAGGTAAAGGAACAAGATCTAGAGTAGTTAGCATATTAAATCCATACACAATCTTGAATGGAGAATAACCTGCAGTGGAGTGGATCGATATGTTGTAAGCAAATTCAAAAGAATGTAAACATTCTTCCCAATTACGTATGTTCTTACCTGCCACAGTTCTAAGTAAGGGACCTAGAATTCGATTGATTACCTCAGTTTGTCCATTTATTTATGGATGACAAGTTATCGAATAAAGAAGTTTAGTGCTGATTTTACCCCACAATACTTTCCATAAGTGGCTTATGAATTTTGTGTCATGATCAGACACAATTGTACGAGGAATGACATGAAGTCGAACAACCTCTTTAAAGAAAAAGTCAGGGGTATGTATTGCATCATCGATTTTGTGACATGGAATAAAATGCATCATCTTATAAAACATGTCAAAAATAAAAAATATACTCTCTCATCCTCTTTTGGTACGAGGTAAGCCTAGGATGAAATCCATAGGTAAATCTATCTAATGACAGTAATAAATTGGCAAATGAGTATATTAGCCATTAGGATTTACCTTAGATTTGGCTTGCTTGCAGATGATGCATGAGGAACATACATTTTTTATGGTTTTCC